CTAGGCTTTCACATATGCTCCATTTTTGTAAAATGCTCAGGTATCAAGTGTCAGTTTGTTTGGGAGAACTTCCACCTTCCCTGATCTTTTTCTGATGAATACACTTCCTTGCTTCAGACTATTCTGCTTCTGGCCCATTGGCCCTTTTTAATGGGAAATACTTGTTTCAAGGTAGTCTTCCTTGGTACATTGTGACTCCTCCAGGGCAAGGAGCACATCTGTTTTTTCACTGCCCTGTCCCTTGTACCTAACCCTAGCTTTATGTTTAGTGTAGGACTCAATAATTAACTTTAGGAATTGAATTATGAACATGTTTTTAGTATTTTGGTAGGTAATTCAAGAGAATGACAAAACACCAGTGTTTTGGCAGGTTGTTGCTCTTTCCTGACACTTTATCGCCTTCTCTCCTCCACCATTGCCTATTAATTTCTAGATCCTACCAGTTTAACCTCCAAAATGTGCATCTTATAAATTATTTATGAACTTATATATTTCACAGTCTGGAATCTTTGGATTCATTTGTATTTTGGAAAACACCAAGAGGGAAGTATATGGGAATCATCAAGCTTTTAAATTTAATAAAGGTTTGACTTGTTAAACCTTTATTTAGAAGTGTTTTCAGAGTGACTGTGCTAATGAAATCTAATGTTGAGAAAAATGTATCTTTTGCATCCTGATAGTACAGATCTAATAAATCTGCCAAAGTTATTTTTCTCTTGCCAAGACTTGTAGAAGATGATAAATGGAAACTTTGTTAAACAGTCTGTTGAAAAAGTATATTAAATATTTTGTGGAGATGTATAAAAGCAGTTAGTAAAGGTGTTTTGATTCTAGGTGAAACGTGTCATTGATGAGAAATTAGTTTTATTAAAGGCCTCATATTAAAGCTCTAAATGAATGAATGAGACATGTCAAGCAGGCTTACTATTTCAGGAATGCAATGGTAGAAGTTTCTCATAGAAGCATTTTTTTTCTTGGGCCAAACACATTTTGTGGGTACCCGGTGTGGGAACTCATAAGCAGTTTTTCTTAAGATTATAGTTGGATGAAAACATGTTTTTTAATTGTTTATTTTCAAAAGTTAGTTTGTAATTACTTTTACTTCAGTTATACATATATAAAGGAGTTTTGGTTTTGGTGAATGTTATACGCAGTATATGTTGACAAAATTGTAAAACAACTGTTTTTTATTCCTTGTCATACACATATATAACCCCTGTTGATGTCAGTTATAGTAGGTCATTAAGAATTAACCAATTCAGATTATTATTTTTTTTGGTGCATACAGATTTTAAAGGGGATTAGGATATTCATAGATCACTTTAGATAAAACTGCAGTGTATGTGTGAGGTGAGTACTGAATTTTATATGTGTGTGTTTGTGTATATATACATATATATGTATATATATATGTAAAACACATTTCTTCACATATATATGTAAAATATATTTATTCATGTGGGACATGGGCAAAAAAGTTTGAAAGCCATTATCCTAGATTGATAACTGTAGAGAAGTTTTTGTTCTGTTAGAAAACTATGAGTTCCTCTTTACCATGTCACCCTGTCTATACTCAGAAACACTCCTTCAGAGTAAGATAAGTGGCATCTCTTGAAAGAACTCTTTGTAAGTGGTTTCATAACTATGCAGTGTTTATGTCATGTAGGTAGTGATACTTTTTCACATGTTCCTCTTGTCTTGCATTTCAAGGTTAAATTGGGTAGTTTAGTGGGTAAAATCCTTAGAAGCGAGTGTGTGGGCAAAATTTGTAGTTTTTCCATTTTTTAAAGTTTTTTTTAATTTTTATTTTTAGTTGTAGATGGACACAATATCTTTATGTTTATTTATTTTTATGTGGTGCTGAGGACTGAACCCAGAGCCTCGTGCATGCGAGACAAGTGCTGTACCACTGAGCTACAACCCCAGCCCATTTTTCCATTTTTTAAATATTTACCTTGTGTTAGTCAGTTTTGCATTGCTGTGGCCAAAGTAGCTGATAAGAACAATTTAGAGGAGGAAAAGTTTATTTTGGTTTAGTTTCAGAGGTTCTGTCCATGGTTAGCTGGACTCCATAACTCTGGTCCCGAAGTGAAGAAAACATCATGGCATAAAGGCCTGGTAGAGGAAAGCTGCTCAGTTCTTGGCACCTGGAAGGAGGGTGCAAGGGAGGCATGGAGGATCTGGGGAGAGGGTTGGAGAGGGAGAGAGGGGGTGAGGTGGACAGAGCAAGCGAGAGTGCTGGAAAGTGCACTTGAGCATGAGCCAGAGAGCCAACAAGCTAGCCCTCTCGCATGTGCAACCATGCAAGTATGCTCTGTTAGCTAGGGATGAACTATAAAGCCCAAAGGCATGAACACTGCCCCCCCTTTCTCCAGCCATACCCTGTCTGCCTATAATTACCACCCAGTACAGTAGTTCTTTCAAATTATTAATCAAATAGATTAACCTATTGATTAAGTTACAGCTCTCGTGATCTGATCATTTCACCTTTGAACATTATTGCAAATTATCCCACACAGGAGTTTTTGGGAGACACCTCATATCCAGACCATACCATATTAAGTCAGCCCCACCCACCAAAAAATATCTGATGTCTAGGAGCATTGCACCACTGAGCTACATCCCCAGTTGCCCAGGCTGGCTTCCAACTTGTGATCCTCTTGCCTCAGCTTCATATGTAGCAGGGATTATAGGTGTGCATCTGGCTTGCTTTTGAAACTTTTCAGTTACACCTTAATTGCTATGATAATTTTAGTTGTTTTCATTTCATTTTAAACTGCTAGTTAGGAATTAATAAAATAATCTGTATGACCTAAAAAAAAAAAAAAAGACTTTTGACCTGCAGTTTTATCCCCCTCCCTCTCTTTCCCTTTCTTCTTTGTTTTCATGAATATGTTTCTCAATATTTTTTTTTCTTTCCTTGCTATATTCTCATCTCTTTTTATCTCTTTTTTTTTGTGTAGTATGAATATTGTCACAACACTCTTTTATTGGTAGTGTGACTTTTGGGAACTTAAAAAAAGAAAGACAAAATACTTTCCTGTGTATGCCTTCTGGCAGATGCTTGGTCTAATTGCATTTTTAGACTTTCTGGAGCCACTCTCAAGAGGACAAGAAATCTTAGATCATCCTGGAAGCAAGTTGACCTGTGGGTTTGGAGCTGAAGGCAGCTTGTGATTGTGTTAAATAAATTTTCAGTTACTCTGATCTAGTCTTACAGTCTAAGTAAAGAAAGAGAAATCAGGATTCCCCTGACTCTCTGTGAGTCCCTGTACCCTTTACCCACTTTACCTACTCCTTTTAATCTTGAGTAGCACATGGAGATATTTTAAGCAAGACAATGAACCAACTTGTCATTTATCTTTCCTAGCCAGGAATGTTCTTTATCTGTTGGAATGCATTTGGCTTCATTTGGTCCAATAGAGTAGCAAATCTTGACCCCTCACTATTTTATATTTCATTTTATGAGAAGGCAATAATTTAGAGGAGGAAAAGTTTATTTTTATTTAAAAATTTTTTTGTTGTTGTTGCACATGGACACAGTGCCTTTATTTTGTTTATTTATTTTTATGTGGTGCTAAGGTTTGAACCCAGTGCCTCACACATGCTAGGCAAGTGCTCTACCACTGAGCTATAACCCCAGCCCAAAATGAGTCATGAAATACTGTGGTAATTTTTTTTGTGTGTGTGTGTGTATGGCAGTGCTGGGGATTGAACCCAGGGCCTTGTGCATGTGAGGCAAGCGCTCTACCAACTGAGCTGTATCCCCAGCCCCTATTTTTAAATAAACATTCAATGCTTTTAAATAAGCTTTCTTGGATCGGGTTGCCTGTGTCACAAGAGTGGAAGGAACATCAATTCAGGTGAAAACAAATTCAACTTCATTCTTTAAAGTACAGGCATTATTGTTTATTAAGCACTGGAAAGAAGAGTTCTAGGTATTACTTCAATACTGGAAAATGAAAAATTTTAAATAAGCATTGAAATAAGTAAATTTTATTTTTAAATAATAATTGCCTTTTCATAATCTCTAGAAAGTCTGAAAATTAATCAAAAGGTTACAGGGCTAAGCAAGTGTTGATAATTATATATGTATTGAATTCACATGTAGTGATATATTTTTCAGTCTCATAGATTTCATTGTTATCTAGGATCAGTTTAGTTATTATAGCAAAGGCCAACACAGTGGCAGTTTATACATGGTAGAAAATGATTCCCCTCTCATTTAACAGTCTGAATATAAGCAGTGCAGGACAGTTTCAGAGCTTCTGTGGTGTTGGGGATCTAGGATCCTTCTATTTTGTTGTTTAGCCATCTCTAATGTGCAGATTTTATAACTTGAGATGACTATTCTTGTTTTTACTGTCACATTGTTATTATTAGAGTTCTAAGTTGGGGAACAAAAAAAAAGGGAGGATGGGCCCCTTTTAAGAGCATAACCTAGAAGTGTGTGATTTTTGCACATATGCCATTGATCAGACATGGTCATGCTTTCTTGTGAGGGAGTATGGAAAATAGTTTTCAGCTGGGTGAACACACGTCCCACTGAAACTTCTCTTAGGGGTATAAAACCATAATAGCCACAAATAAGGATTTACTTATCAAAAACAAAACACATGTTAAGTTTACTCAACAAAAAAGGATTTGATATGCTTATTATTTTTTCTTATGTACTATTGCTTTGAGGATAGAAATTTTCCACTGAAATTTTCAAGTAGAGTTGAGCTACTGCAAAGAGTTAATCTGAATTAATGTATTTCCCTTTGGGATTATAAGTCAAATTTATTCTAATGGTTATAAGGATGTATAAAATGTATAAAACACATTAAAAAATAAGTTTGCTCTTCTGCTTCCTTCCCTTTTGTCTTTCTGTCCGTCATTCATGGGATGGGAACCAGGGCCTTGTGCATGCAATATTCCCATCCTCTTATTTTTCTTATGTTGTTTTTGCCCTTATCCTTTCTTGAGGCTAATTTCACTTGTTTTATTTGTATTTCTAGGTATGGCACAGTCACAGGGCTGGGTGAAAAGATACTTGAAGGCCTTTTGTAAAGGCTTCTTTGTGGCAGTGCCCGTGGCAGTGACTTTCTTGGATCGGGTTGCCTGTGTCGCAAGAGTGGAAGGAGCATCAATGCAGGTGAAAACAAATTCAACTTCATTCTTTAAAGCACAGGCTTTATTGTTTACAAGCACTAGAAAGAAGAGTTCTAGGTATTATTTCAATACTGGTAACTGAAAGATTTTAAATAAGCATTGAACTGAAGTCTCACTTGACTAATTTATAAGGTTTTCTAAAACTACTAGTATAATCAGAGTACAGGTGAATAAAAACAACTATCAAGTAGTCCTCTGAGTCTGTAGTTTGACTTTTTGGTGAGAATTGTAAATAGAGATTCTAAAGAAATTTACAGTTTTCTCTGAGTATGGCTATATAAAATATCCTTTCAAGATCAAATTATTAGTGCAATTGAAGAATGAGTTTGGGTTAAATTTGGTTATTCTATTGATATATACTTTCAGTTTATAGAAAAATCTAGATAACTGATCCCATATATTCCAGTGTGTTCTTTAAACATTTGCTGAGTGAAAAATATTAAGTGAACTTTACTGTTGAAGAACTTCAGCATGTAGAATTCCAAAAATTACATGTGAATAGTCTTCTGGAATACCAGAGAAAATTTTATTGTTCTCAAATTTATATTTAGAACCTAGCTGAATAAGTAAGTTTATGTTGTTAAGCAACATTTGTATTTTGTAATATTATTTGTTTTCTTCTGTTACTAACATGCTAAATTTTTGTATTAGGTTAAATAGTTATTAAAAAAGAAAGTGAATATATGAACTTCCAAGAGATTAAAATTATACAGAGAAAAATAAGCTTAGTTTTTTCCTTTTCATTTTTGTTAGAACTGCTTAAGGACATTAATGTCTAGTCAGCTTTGTGTTGCTGTGACCAAAATACCTGACGAGAGCAATTTAGAGGAGGAAAAGTTTATTTTGGCTCATGATTTCAGAGGTTTAGTTCATACTTGACTGAGTCTGTTGCTGTGGGCCCAAGGTGAGGCAGAACATCATGCAGAAGGGCTCTTCAGGGGATAGATGCTTAGTTTATGGCAGGGTCAGGAGGCAGAAAGAAGGGGAAGTGGACACAGGGAAGAAAAGGTAGCACACCTGTAGTGACCTATCTTCTCCAGCCACCTGCCTACCACCCAGCCAATTCATTCCAACTAGGATGCATTGATTAGATTATAGCTCTCATTTTGCCTCCAACTATTCCTGTATTAACATAAGAGCTTTTTGGGGACACCTCACATCCAAATCATAACACAAAAGCATCATTAGCTTTAAGAAGTTAGGATGGATTTATTTATTATAAGTATGATACACACACACACACACACACCACACACATATATACACACACATATACATATTTAAATATATATAAATCAGTCTCCTTTCTGAGTTCTGGTAGTCTGTGAGGTAAGTTAGTATAGCATATAGTTACGGCGGGTGCTCTTTGGTTTAAAGTAGGGCTGCCTTCATATTTACTTCTACTTCTATCATTTGAAGGGTGCTTAAGCCCTTCTCTTCATCAGGGAATTCTGATCTCTATTCTGTCTTTCAAGTTCCCACAGCAAAATGGCCACTTATTTTGAATGCAAAAATATTTTAATGTAGGGGTACAGTAAACATAGGAAGAACAATTCACAGGTGTATGTCTTTTTTTCTAAATACAGTTTAATATATTTAACATTGGAGATTGCATTTTCTGCCTCTTCGGTTTTAAATTCTTGGTAGCCTTATCTTAGACGTAATCCTTAAGGAAAGATAGACTTTATTTGCAGAGCTTTTGAATCAGATTCTTCATTTCAGATTGAAACTTCCCTATTCTTAGCAGTCCAAATCCCTTTTTGGTCTTTTGGATCTTTGAGTCCATCTATGGCTATGTATCTTTTAATAACAACTAATAAGAGTAAAAATGATTTTCTCCAATTTTGTTAGTACTGCTTGATATACAGCCATCATTCTCCTGAGGGAAAAAAAATTCTTTTTTTAAAAATATTTATTTTTTAGTTGTAGTTGGACACAGTACCTTTATTTTATTTATTTATTTTTTATGTGGTGCTGAGGATCAAATCCAGGGCCTTGCATGTACTAGGCAAGTACTGTACTGTTCTGCTGAGCCACAATCCCAGCCTCTGAGAAAAAAATTTTTAGAAACAAAATCTGCTTACCTTAGATCTGATGATGATCTAGGGGACCATGTTATTTTAAAATGCTAGTCCATGGACTAATGTTAGATGTGTTAGAATCTGCAGATGCATTAGAATTTGTAGCAGTATTCCTGGGCCCCACCCCTAGAAATCTAATTTATTATCTTGGAATTGGATAGGAAAATAACTTGAATTTACTTAGGTATAGAGGGGAATTTATTGGATGGCTTATTATATACTTATGAGAAGTGYAGGAGTACAACAGTTACCAAGGACAATTGGAACCAGCACTCAAGCACTGTCATGGTTATTAGTTTTCTATGTTCTGCTTCTGTCTGCATTTTGACTAAGTTCTCTCAGATTATCTTTCTCCGAATGTCAGGGCACATGGCTTCTGTGAGCTCTCATGCCTTAAGATGCCTGGTTTGAGAGATCACCTTTCTTGCCTTAATTTCAGCTTGAAAAATTCGGGGAAGGATTATGATCAGTTCAGCTTGAATCACATACCTTTATCTTAACAAATATACAGATCAGCTTTGGCCAACAAGGTGGGTAACATAATTGGCCTGGCTTTGGACATCCCCATATCCCCAGCCTGTGGCTAGACTGATCTATCGGAAAATGAGAACCTTTGTTTTGTTTGTTTGTGTATTTTTAAATTTGGCATTGAGGATTGAATCCAGTGGTGCTTTACCACTGAGTTAATTCCCAATACTTTTTGAGACAGAGTCTTGCTTAGTTGCTTAGGGACTCACTAAAATTTTGAGGCTGGCCTTACCCTGCTAAATTGCTGGGATTATGGACGTGCTCACCATACCCTGCTAGAGAGCATCTGTTTTACATTTCATTATACTCTGGGAATTCGGAGTAAAGTACAAATGATGGTTCCCAGAGGAAAGGGGATGCTATTTTTAGAATACAAGTAGAAAGGATAATCTGGAAAGAAAGGAAAATATGTATGTTTATTATATTGGATCTTTATTTTCTCAATTTGAAACTAAATCTAGGAATAACAGATAATTTCATTTACATGTTCATTAGCACCAAGTCATACTTAAAATTATTTGAGCAGAAATCATAATAATGAAATTTGGGGATTAACTAATAATTTCAGCATATTTAAAGACATCCTTTGCAACAGACAACTTTGATGAACTGAATGTTTTTAGACAGGTTCAGCAGAATTTGATAGAATTTTATTGAGATAAGTTCTTTTTTATTTCCACATTTTTTTTATTGGTGCATTATTATAGTTGTACATAATGATGGGATTTGTTGTTATATATTCATGTATGCACACAATATAATTTGGCCAATATCACTCCCCAACACTTCCTTGGAATAAATCCTGGTTTTCACATTTCTTTAATTATGGAGCTCTGTCGAAGTCCCAGAACATCCTGTAGGAAACCCATCTGCTGAGCTGTGGTTGTGACTCAGCAGTAGAGCGCTTGCCTAATGAGTGCAAAGTGCTGGGTTCAATCCTCAGAACCACATAAAAATAAATAAACAAAATAAATAAACAAAATATGGGTAATTTTTATTAGTACTTACAACCACATAAAAATAAATAAACAAAATATTGTGTCCATCTACAATTAAAAAAATAAAAAATAAACACACCTGCTTTTCTTGACTCAGGTCTGGAAATTCCATTTGGTGCAAGGTAATTGGTTGGTTCATTGTGAACAGGGATATTCTGGATATGTGGTGGTGACTTCTGGTACCAAGGCTTAGAAGTACGAAAGGAAAGCAAAAAAGAAGAGGAGGACAAAGGATAATATAGAGAAATATGAGGAAAGCAAATAACATAGATACATTGGGTGATAGGGAATAATGAAGAAAATTAGACCACTCATTTTCCAGTGAGTAGGGAACAGAGACACAGAGGACCAGTGATAGAGACTACTAAAAGAGGAAAAGTGCTAGGCTAGAGGTTGACAGGACCCTCAATGGGACAATCCTTGCAATTGTGCCCTTGATGTTTGATGCATCTCTGCTGCCTGTTTGGGTGCAAGAATGATCTAGCCACTCATTCTGTATCTCAATATTTATGAAAGGAACCTGTGTACCATTTTATAAGAGTTAATATTGGTATGAGTTATCAGTTTTGAACATTAGTCATTGCATAGGACTAATTCTCCTGGTGTTCTAATCATTTCTGTTGTTTCAAATATAAAATTAATTTTATATCTTAGGATATCATTTTTGAATATGGGTAATTTTGATTAGTACTTGTAAGTTTATTGTGATACAGACATTTATCAATGGCTACTAAGTATAAAACACTTAGGTTAGGTACTATGAGGGTGATGAATCAGACACAAATTCTGTCCTCAAGATGCTTTTACTTTAGTAGAGAGGATATAACAATTATTTGTCTTGGATAATGAATACATCTTCAGAAGAAATCTCTTTAAACGCCGTCAATCTGTCAGATAAATGTTTTGTCAATTTTTAGTATATCCAGAATTGAAAATCTGTTTAGTTTAGCAATCTATTTTTTGGAGAATTGACCTGGAAATTTTAATGAGGAACAGAATAGAACCAGAAAAATAATACCTTAGCCCTTTTATTCTTGGCCACTCTATTGACTTTTTGCTATGGCCATAAACAACTCCGAGATTTTTTTTGGCTTACATAAAAGATCTTTATTTCTTGCTCATGACTCTCTGGGCTGGCTGCAGTCACTGTAGCCTATTGGTTTGGTTTAGTCTATTGTACACAACAGCACCTGCTGGAGTGTGCTCTTCTCATGTTTGAAAGCAGGACAGAAGATGAGAAAAAAATACACAGAGCCTCTTAAATTCTTAGTTAGGAACTTTTATTCTTATTTCCATATTTCAGCGTTCAAAGCAAATCATAGAACCAAACCAGATTCAGTGAGTGTAAGGATAGTTTCTACCCTCAGGGAAGCCAT